GAAAACTTCACATCATAATATAAACTATGAATGTGTTTAATTTTTATCATTGTTCAGTTTTTCTAGATTTAATTTTTTACTATTAATTATTTAAAAACTGAAAAATACATGTCAAGACTGTTATTTCCTTCTGTCTGTCCAGATTTTGTTGCTGATTTTAGGAAGAAAAAATCCTATCTAGGATTTTAATTTCTTACTTAGATATTTCACCATTTAAACAAATTACAAAGTATAATAATGAAAATTATAAAACCTCTGGATTCTTGTCCGGCTTCAGTGATACACTGGGAAACTGGAATTGTGCTCACTTTCTTGCAATAATGTAAAAAATGCAGAAATGAATTAGTATTCCTTGTCCATTGATTTTCTTTGGGAACTCCAAACAGAGGGAGATAGCATTTCTTTCTTCTATTTCTAGCCCTATTCTTTTTAAAAAAAATTTTTGAAATTCCCTTAATACTTTAAAATGAACCCCCGAAGGGTAAAGTCACAGTTTTTCTACTGGGCATTGAGAGCTAATTATCTAATCATCCCTACACAGCTAGTTATAACAATTAAAATGACATATTGTGTCTTCAGGGTTGATGTAGGAGTGAATTTACAAATTATCACTGGATGGAGTTTATAATAAACGTACTTTCTTTTATTTCCTTTAGTGATGCACTACCAAACTACCCTACTTAACTTACACATTTGGAAATTCTGAAATTTACTTTAGAACAGCATGTCCACTATTGCTCCTCTAAACCTGCTATTTTTCTAATGGACTCTGTTTTAGTTAGTAACAAGCAAACTGTCATCCAGAGACACATCAAGGACGTTAAACTCCTCCCTTACCTGTCTGCTATGGGTTCTGTCCGCTAAAGACACCTTGATCCAACTCTCTATTTCCATACTTACCCCTAAAGTCCGATAAGTATTCATCTTTGCCTAAATTTATTAAATAACCTACTAACTACACTATCTGCCCTGCTAATTCAGTGATCCATCAAGCCACTGCAGCCCGAGTTTGATTCCTACCAGGGAGCTGACCCTTATGGCGCAGCAGACCTCTCCCATCTCACCGGCTGCTCCCCTCCGCAGTGTATTTCAGTAGCTCTGCCTGTTCTGCTCCCTGCTTTTGTCTCTGGTGAATCCTCACACTTCTCTGCACCTCTGGCCTACACCGTAACTCTTGTATGAATAAATAAATATCTTAAAAATATATAAACAATTTCTTATTGTACAAAGAATAACAACAAAAAATCCTTAAGCCTAAATGTACAAATCCTTATATTAAGAAATAGACCCATTAACTGTGCAAAGTTGAGGAGGTGTTTTTTGCAATATATGTGAACATTGTTTATAGTAATACTAACTGAACTTGCAAATAACCCTCTATATCTTAGTGGGTTGACATAATGGAAGTGTAATTCTCCCTCATCAACAAATAAAAAGCAAGGCTCCTAAATGAAAACCTATTCTATTCCAATTGATGAGTCAAAATTCTATATACTTTTATCTTACTGCTCAAGCATTTTCCACATTTGACTTCTTCCACTGTGTTCTTATCTAGATCAAACTGGAAGGAGGAAATTAATAGGGACTCTGAATGTGAGGCTTTTATAAACCAGAAATATATATTCAATCATATGACTACAGCCAACTGTAGTTGACTCTACAACTGAAAAGGGAGGTTCTGTGTTTAGGAAAAAAGAAAATGGATTTGGTGAGCAGCTAAGAGTTCCTTTTACTTGTACTTCTGAATGTCATCTCTTTAATCCTTCCTCCACCATGGAGCAAAAGCTCAGTCTCTCCCCAAGTATGTCAAACCCATCCCCATTTAGTCCTATTAACCAAAAGCTAGGCTCTGACACTCTGTTCTCTCCATCAAATCCACACATGGCTATTCTTTAATTTTCTTTCTGATAGTCACTATTAGTGTACAGTAATGTATCACAATATATTTGGTACCCCAGGATATTTTTTAAAATATTATTTGCTACATATTATAGTTAAACACTATCACTGTACAACTTTTATAGATTGTATCTGTCATCCTATGAAGCATATGAATTTCACAAAGGCATTCAAGCACTTTCCTGGTTCAGTTGGCAGTATGTTATTAATATCGTTAACCAGTCTATTTTTCTAGAACATGTCCAAAAAAATTACATTTCCTTCAGACACAGAGCAGAATAATTATACAACCCTAGGGCAAGACCATCAGTTATATTGTTATCAACCCCATGTGACTGTAAAATGCTTCTGATTCTCATTCATGATCTGTATTTGAAAGATTTCCAAAACAAAAGTCATATATCTCATACCTGATATGGTGTTAATAAGTAAGGTAAGGTAGCACATCTGGCAAAACAATAAACAATGCAACATTGCCTTGTTTGTTGTTTCCACTATTATCAGCTGTGACCTAGATGTTTATTAAAGAGAGTAGGATGGAAAAATAAATTAGAATATAGTAGGGACCACCATAGCTCCAGGCTTTGAGTTCCTGAGAACGACATTAATTGTACCAAAAGGACCTGATATACTTCTCTAGGTCATGTCCTTGGTCTGATGTTGGCCAAGTTCTATAATTCTAGTCAGTGATCTGTGGGATAGTCCAAGGAATAGGTTATGGTAATATCCACCATATACTATGGAAAAACAGAAATTAATTTTAATCTTTTTCATATTTACCCCTGAAAGTATATATCAGACTATGGGGGGAATATGAGAATATATAACCTATTGAGAGCAGAAGGAAGGTATCTAAGGCTATTCTTTATCCTGTTAATACCCTTGAATGGGTGGTTTTACCAGATTTTGAGGTCAAAGTATATTCTTGTTGAAATTCATGGTCTGGTCTCTCTTAAAAGAATAGGGTCTGGGTGTCCTCTAGGCCTCTCTCAGAAGAGATGACTTAGTAGCCTTTTTGAGTCATTATTATACTTTCCATCTTCATGACCCCACCTACCCTTAGCATTTATCTCATTCTTAGCAGAGTATGATATTCAGAGCAAATATTCTCTGGCTCCAGGAATCTCCAGCCGCATGCCATGAAAATATAACGAGAGAAGGAACTTCTACAACTAAAATTCAAGACTCTTGTCTACACAGCAGGATGAAGTTTATATTGATGTAGCCAGATATAAAAGGAACAGAGCTAGATATGAATCCTTTCTAGAGGACTAAATTGAAATCTAGGCAAAGACCCCTATTTTCTAAAACTACCTTTTATAGGTAACATATTGCTCCCCTCACCCCCTGAATGTGAACCTGTGTATATGTTAGGTTATTTGGCAATGGGGAATTAATATTGTAGATTGAATTATAGTTGCTAATCTTTATCTGGCCTTAAAAAAAGGAGATTGCCCTCAATTATCTGGGTGATAGCAGTGTAACCACAAGGGTCCTGAAATGGAAGAGGGAAGCAGAAGAGTCAAGGGCAAAGAAAGAAGTGACTATAAAAGATAGGCACAGCGAGATGCCACAGTTCTGGCTGTGAAGATGGAAGAAGGGGCCCATGAACCAAAGATTGTGGATGGTCTGTAAAAAGTGGAAAAGTAAAAGAAGTGATTTCTTTCGAGTATTATGGAAAGGAATTTGGCCTTGCTGACACATTAATATTAGTCCAATACAATTTCCATGGCTTCTGAAATACAGATATGTAATATGATATATTTATGTGATTTGGGGCCACTAATTTCGTGGTAATTTGTTACAACAGTTGAAAATCTATTACCTCATACCTAGCATATCTACCTCTCAATTTATAAACCCTGTTATTTTATGAGGGGTAAACTAAAACTTAAATATCTAATTCTTCTCCTACCATTGCTATCTTTCATCTTTTCTCCTTGACTGGAGTCCAGTGGATCCTCTCCCCACTTATTCCTCCCTCTGATAGCCTCAAATCCTATAGTCTGATCTCTAGGGCTTGTTACTGGTTTGGTTTTATCTGACTGTTTTGTTTCCCTGTGTCCACATGTAAGTGCTACCATTTGCTATTTGTTACCTCAATAGAAGAGAATGTCATAAAAAATAAACTTGAATTTAAAAAAATGCAATACTGCTCAGCTTTAAAATAAAATAAAATCCTACTACCTTGTAACTCCATGGATAATCCCAGATTATCATTTATTATTATATCTATCATACATTATTCATTATATCATTTAATGAAATCAACACGATGTAGAAAGACAAACAAACATGATTTCACTCATGTGGTATATAAAGAAACCAAACAAAATAAAAAAAAATTATACAGAGGATTTGTTTGGGTTGAGTTTTCCTTGAAAAGACTATAATTAAGCATAATTCCTTAGGTCCATCTGTGTTGCTGCAATGACAGGATTGAAATAAGCCACACAGAGAAAAACAAACACCATATGATCTCACTCATATGCTATATAAAGAAAATTAACAGCTATACTAAAACAAAAACAAAAACAAAAGACCTGTTGGATTATAGGACCTATTAACGGTTATTAGAATGACAGGGGAAGGGTAGGCAAATTGGGAAGAAGGGACAACATTATGATTAAGAGGACAACATTATGATTAAGTGGACTTCTTGTGGTTAGATTAGTGAAGGATATGCACATAGATTTTCAAAGATGCATACCTGAAAATTGTATAATGGTATTTCAAGAAATAAAAATTTAAAAATAATAAGTAATCAGAAAAAGTATAAAAAGATGTGAGATGTGTATAAGTAAAAATACAATTCATTCATATTTCAAAAGCTCAGGAATTTGAGAATTTCACTTCATTTCATCCTTGACAATGAATTTAAAACAACTAGAACAAAAATTACCAAATGGAGTCTTTCCTTAATGTGTTCACTAATTATTTTAATGATTGCAATAACTTAAAACTAAGACAATGATATGTAGTCTGAGTTTTTTTATTCATTTATTTAATTAGCAATTGATTATGACTCTACTATGTGAAAAAACACAAGTCAGAAGTTATGTTTCATTTAAATAGAAAATGGAAGTTTTCCAGAAAAATATTTATTTCTTTATCACTTTCCTCAGTGCCCCCAAAACCTCCTTGTTTCGTAGACTATAAATAAAAGGGTTTAACAGAGGAATTATAATTGTATAGAACAGGGAATACATTTTATCTTGATATTGATCTGGTCCAGACCCAGGAAGCACATACATGAAGAAGAGAGTGCCGTAGAATAAGGAAACAGAGAGCAGATGGGCACTGCATGTAGAGAAGGCTTTGCTCCTGCCCTTTTCAGACTTCTTTTTCAGGATGGCAAAGAGGACACGAGTATAAGAAACTATGATGGTCATAAAAGTGAAAGCTTGTATAAAAGTTGAGAAAATAAAAACCACCAATGCATTAATAGATGGATCAGTACAAGAAATTGTATATAGTGGCAAGATTTCACAGTAGAAATGGTGTATTATATTGGACCTGCAGAAGGTTAATCTAAATAGTAATCCTATGTGAATTATGAGATGCAGAAAACCAATTACATATGACATACTTATCAAACGTGTGCAGAGTCTGCTGGACATCACCACTGGATACAGCAAGGGGTTACATATGGCTACGTAGCGGTCATAGGCCATGACTACCAAGAGGAAGCATTCTGTGGTGGCACTGGAACCAAAAAAATAATATTGGGCCATACACTCAAAGAGGGATATCATCTGATGCTTATCTAAGAGATTGACAAGCATTCTGGGAGTCACAGAGGATGAAGTACAAGCATCTGCAAAGGCCAAACTGCCGAGAAAGAAATACATGGGGGTGTGGAGGTGGGGGTCCCTCCAGATGAGAAGAATCAGTCCCAGATTGCCCACCATAGTGATGAGGTAGATGACCAAGAACACCAAGAACAGAGGGACCTGCAGCCCAGGACGATCTGTGAGTCCTGTGAGAACAAACTGAGTCACCTGTGTCATGTTTGCTTCCATTGTATTCACGTGAAGTGATCACTGCCATGAGAGAAGAGGGGGAGACAAATGAATCAAGGATCATGAAACTAGTATTGGGCTGCAATGTATTCTCTATTGCATAGACCTTTCCTCAGGAAATTTGGCAGTATAATATTCCTTTTTAAAAAATACGCGAGAAAATAATGAGCATATTGTAACAATTTTAAACCTTAAAGCTTCTTTTAAAAAGGCTTTAATCTGAAAATATGTATTACTTGATAGGCTAATGAAAGGGTTGTAGACATCAATTAACTTGGTCCAATTTCTTGTCTCATAAATTCATTAAAATTGAATGGATTGATATAAAATATTACTGATGTAAGACTAGAAATACATAATACATTTTATTTTAAAATTTCTTAAAGTTAGACACTTTCTCAGAAATGTTTTAATATTCTCCTATTGAACAAAGAGTACCTCCCTCTTTGGTATTATATATATATATATGTATATTCCTTACTCTTACACATTAATCAGTTGACATTAAGTTAAAAATCCTATTATTACAGTTCTCTTCATTACCATCACATTTCTCAACTACATAGTTAACAAGTCAGACAAAATTTGTAATAGTCTCTTGATTATACTTTTCTCAATCTACTGCAAAAGTCTAATAATTTTTTTTTTAGTTTTCTCAATAAACTGTCATATGGGATCATATTTATTCATTCTATCACAAATATTTATTTAGTAATTCCTAAACTGAAGCACTGTAATTCTTAGGTCAGTCACACATAGAATCCAAATTTTGCCATGACACCATAATACTAAAATAACACCCTTTTTTAAGAATACAAAAGAAACAAACTATCCACCCTTCCTGCATATTGGGGTTAAATCTAAGAGTCACGTTAGACATGCCAATGTAGGTAATTATCATAGCTCACTGGGAGTGACTCAATATTTCAGAGGCAAAATTCTAAAATGATAATAAGATATCTTTCTGCTTTTTCTTTCTGCTCTTTTTGATACAGGAAATAAGATGGTCAAAGTTGAGGTAGAATGAAACATTATAAAAGACACCACATTGGAAATAATAGCTAAATTTATTAATATTATTTAAAAAGCAAAGCAAATGAGAAGAAAAGATTAGAAATATAGGCTATGAGTGGACAAGGCACATATGAACCTCAAACTAAAATCTTATTTGTGAGTTTCATGAGTAAGATGGTAAGATCCTGTTGAAACCCAGGGTGGGAAACTTAAATTACTTCAACACGGTGACAAGTCGTGCATAATCCTGCATATAAAATATGCTTTATATTTTCAAATCCCTACCTTAGAGAACTAAAGCATAGCCTACCTGTTCAGGAATGCTGACCACGCAAGGGGATATTTAAGGTCTCATGTCTCTATGTCATGTGAGCGTAACTGCTACAACCTAGTTGCCTATTTGTACAGCCCTAGCTGAAGACCATACTCTCCACGTTTATAATTACCCACTTGGTAATAAAAAATATATAAACAGTTAGACTCTGGAAATTTAAGGATAATAAGGTTTGTGAGAAAGCAATCCTGATGAGGATAATCTTTGAACTCTAAAAATATATTGAAGAATTGGGGTATTGAATATAGAAAAGCACCTTAGAGTTTTTCCCCTCAAAGACGGGATAGTTTGAGGAAAATGTACTCTGTTTTCATAGAAAATATGAAAAGAGAAAATTTGTTTGAGATTTATATTAGGCATTAAAAAGCATGAGCAGAGGGGCTGGTGACACTGGCAGCAATGACTAAGCACACAGCTGTCAAATTACTAACATTTTGCCCTCCCTAAAATTCAGTAATGAGGCGTGGCTCTCAGGCGATGGGTTGAGTCTCTCTTCCTGCAAGTTCATGCATGCACTAACTAAATAAGAATTAGGTTGAAGCAGAAGTCATAAATTGCCTTTAAAATCAACATAGCTGTAGATTCTTAACTGTCGAAAAATCTTCCTGATTCTTCCTGATCAGGATTAAGGAAAGCCGGAAAGAATCTTCATTTAATGACACAAATTATTAAAGAAATTAAGTAATAAGCTATTATTCTGGCAAGGAAAATCCTAACAAAAATAAAACTAAATTTCTGAAGATTTGAGTCGTAGGTCTACTTCTATGTTACTAAGGAATATGCCAGTCACTTAGAATTCATATTTTAAGGTTTCCAGTGCAACGTATTAGGTTTTACAACTAACACTCCAGCCCACAGTCCATGAATAGACTGTGACTCCTCTTTGCTTTTCACTAGATAACATAGCATAGTAGTCAAACAAAAGTTTTACAATAGCATCAGTTCAGGTCTTTATTCTACACATTTTAACTTTATACCCATAAGGGTTCAGAGGTACTGAACTTATTTAGCTATTTCTACTTTGGTTCTAATCCATTTGGTAGATAAATCATCTGAAATTTTTTTAAAAGAATTTGACAACTCATGAGAAACTCTCAGTCCTAAAAGGATACGTCCTTCCTCTTTTCATGCAAAGAATAATGAAAACAGAGCACTGAATTCTCACCCAATTCATGTAAGATGCAGCGGTGCCATAAAATATAAATTTTCAAGAAGAGTTCTTAAGATAGGATAAAAATATCAAAGACAATTACTCATATTGTTTTTCTTTGTAAAAGCACTTTGGAGGGAAAGATATTTATATCTTCCCATCTTCCAACCTGTTTGTTAAGATAATATTGAAACTCCCTTAATGCAACCAAGATTCCCTATAGATGATATAAGTCTACTGGGCATTATAGACTAATCAACAAATCTCTAACATGTGCATTATAACTATTACTTTTAAAGCTTTGTTTTTCTGTTTTTGAAAATAAGGGAACTATAGATTAATTATAGAAATATGTTAAAAGGTTGAAAAGCCCAAGGCAAAATGAATTGTAATCTTAGTAAACACTGATATAGCTAACTTTTTACACATGCGTGTCGATACACAAACACACACATATAGTATACTGTTTTTTAAAAAAGATTTATTTATGCATGCAGAACTGGGGTACAGGCCAGAGCTATGGGGGACAGAATGGGGGACAGGATAGGCAGAGCAAGGAAGTACACTGCTGAGGGGAGCAGTGGGCTGGACAGGAGAGGTCTGCCACGCCATGTGGGTCAGCTCTGGGTCAGGGATTGAACTCACACTGAAGTGGCTGTGCTAGCTTGCAGTGCTGTGTCCTAACCCTATAGCCACCAGGGAGGGCCCTATATAATATATTGTTACAAGATAAATTGAGGCATATTAAATACACTAAAAGATTTTTTTTTTTTTTTACCAAAAAGTACTTTAAATAAGGTAGCATACAATATAGGAGACAAAAAGGAATTGAGACTGAAGGGATTGTGCAAATGTAACACTTTTATAGATAGGAAAGAAGGGAGTAAGGAAGTTCTATTAAACAGGAATCTGGTTGATTATTTCAAGGTTATTTCTTTAAGATTAATTTTTCCCCATGTGGTGCTGAGTAGGCATTTCCTGATTCTCTACTTTAAGATTCCTGTGTTGGGAGAGTCAAATTTGTAATTATGCTCCTGGTGTTGTGCACATAGCATATCTATGCTGAGACATTGGGTCTGTTGTCTTTTGGGAGGGCTCTTTTTAACTATATATATATATATATTTTATATCATCATCATTATTATTATTATAGTTTATTTTTACATCACTTTGCACCTTTTTTCCATCTCAGTTGTAATCCCCATGGACTTCCCATCACCAATTCACCTGTGTGCCATTACCATAGTCCCTACACTCCAACACCCCAATTTTTATCCCATTCCTCACTCCACCCCTGTAAAATGTCTTTGGTATCCACTTGTTCATTATTATTATTTTTCCCTCTGGTCCTTTATGCTCCTGCTATAAGTGAAGCCATATGATATTTTTCTTTTTCTTTCTGGCTTATTTCACTAAGCATGATCCCTTCCAGCCCATCCATGTTGCTGCAAAAGGAATGAGTTTATTTTTTTGATGGTCGAGTAATATTCCATTGTGTGTGTACCACATCTTTATAATCCAGCCATCTGCTTTTGGGCATTTGGGTTGATTCCATATCTTTCTTATTGTAAACAAAGCAGCAATAAACATGGAGGTGCAGGTGTCTTTTTGAATCAGTGTTTTTGTGTCTTTTGGGTAGATACCTAAAAGTGGGGTTACTGAGTCATATGGAAGTACCATGTTTAGTAGTTTGAAAAACCTCCAAACAGTCCATAGTGGCTGTGGCTGTATTAGTTTGTATTTCCACCAGAAGTGCAGGAGAGTTCCTTTTTTTCCATGTCTGCGTCAACATTTGCTGTTGCTTGTTTGTTTGTTTTTTGTTTTAAAGATTTATTTATTCATACAGAACTGGGGTACAGGCCAGAGATGCGGAGAGTGAGAGGATTCACCAGGGACAGAATGGGGAGCAGAACAGGCAGATCCACGAAGTACACTGCTGAGGGGAGCCGTGGGAAGGTCAGGAGAGGTCTGCCACGTGGATTTCCTCCGGGGCAGGCAGGGATTGAACTCATGCAGAAATGGCTTAAGCTTCTCAGTGCTGTGCTTTAACCCGCTGCGCCACCAGGGAGGGCCTGTTGTTGCTAGTAATTTTAAGATGTACATTCTCACCGGTGTGCGGTGGTATCTCATTTAGGTTTTAATTTGCATCTCCCTCATTACAAGTGATGTTGAACATTTATTCATACGCTTGTTGGCCATCTGCATTTCCTCTTTGGAGAAGTGTCTTTTTAGCTCTTCTGCCCATTTTTGATGGGGTAGTTTATTTTTATTGACTTTGATCAGTTCTTTGTGTTTATTTGTGACCAATCCTTTATCGTTAGTATTGTGTGAGAAAATTTTTTCCAAATCAGTGGAAAATGTCTGTTTGGTTTTTGTACTGTCTCTTTTGCTCTTTAACTTGATGTGCTCCCATCTGTTTATTCTTTCTTTCACTATTGTTGTGTTGGGTGTTGTATCTTCAAAGGTGGATGTTGTGCATCCATCTTTGCTTCCAGGTATTTT